TTGGTATTGCCATTACTTCCCTTAAAACCTTAGGCTTGATAAAGAAAACAGAACTTAAAGAAAATTTACTATGCACAAATGCTTGATCTCTAAAATTGCTGTTTGCTTATTTTCTGCTATGAGTTCAACCTTTGTTGGCTGAACTACCATGTTGATTATTGAAAAAGGTAATGTTAAAGGAAAAATTGCTTGCACTTTTTGATACAGTCAGCAGAGGGCATTTATGGACTAACTCAAGACATATTTCTGCATTCACTATGGGAATTCTGAGAAATGTTCTGAATGACACCATATTGCTATGAAAACTAAATCACTACTTTTAAAAATGGAAAGCTTTGATTTAAAATGAGATATTAATTACAAAGAGGGAAGAAAGAGTGGTGACCAATATAATTTTTGGCTTCTCTAGAATTAATTGACTGCATTATATATATCAGATAGCATGTATTTTCCACCATGGAAAAAAACGTAATGAGAAAAGGAAAAAAAAGGAGTAAACATTGCTTGTTTTCTTTCATCATTTTACAGATATATAATATATAGTTGGAGGAAGAAGCTAGTTCTTTTTAAGACTACTACAATGGAATAAAAATCGAGCATTGTCGCGGTTTTTTTAAAGATGGTTTTATCTTTTGTGCTGGAAGATGTGCTAATTTATATTATTAAATACCTGCCTTTCAATGAATATAATAATAAATAATCTAATAAAATTATGGAGACTTTGAAGAAATAGTAAGGGGTCAGATAGTAAAAGCTGTTGTGATATTCAAAATGTATAGGTAGGTCCAGAATATAAATTTACTTAAATACTTATAAAATCAATATTAACCAATTTTGATTATCGGCTTACGTGAATGTCCAAAGCTCTGTATTTCATGTGTGGCTGTATTTCATAATGAAATAACATCTTTAGAAGTACCTTCTTTATAAAGAAGAGTGTCATTTTGGCCCAGTATTCTCAAAATAAAGATCTTGTCAGTATGAACTGTATAAAATAGAACTGAAATCCTGAAGAGACATGCATTAGACAGGAAATCTTAAAAAGTAAATTCCAGATTTGGTAATAATAACTAAATACTGTGGTAACTTGAGTTTTATTTATCAATAGATGAGTTAAATGGAAAGAAAATGCAGGGTGCAAAACTAAGAGAAAAGGCCTAAAGATCAGTAAAAGAACAAATGTTCTCTTTGGGTGGGTATTTGCACTCTCCTTAGTTCCAAGTTAATAGGTTTCAGTAAATAAATAAAATAAAAACATTATTTTAGAAAACATCTCTTTTAAGTTTCACATCATTGTTCAAACTTTAACATCTAACATTTATTCTAAACAGATCACAGTCATGGGAAAAAATAAATTTGAGTCTGAAACCTTGTTGAGAGAATTGTCCTATATTTAGTAACAAGCAAATCAGGCTTTTTTGGTAATGTGAGTATATTGGATGCTTTTTCTTTTCCACACTTTTTTTTCCTTTGAAAAAGTTTATACTTTGTTTATTGCAAAGCAGTATTTTTGTATGTATTTTTAAGCCGAGGCTTTCAGATTGTAGTTCAGTGCAAGTTTGAAATATTTCTATGCCTTCCATTTTTTTCACGCTTTTATGATACAATCACACTGTAGTAGTCCATGTCATTGCACGATGTTTTCAGTCACCTTTATCCCTTGTGAGTGAATATAGATATTCCCCTAAATGTTCTATGTTGGCTACAAAATTTTAACTTACATAGTGTAAATCAGATGTTTCCAAGTCAAAAGAAACCTCAATAAATATATTGGCTGTGTAATAGAGATACAAAATAACAGAAATAATATACTTGAAATCTTCTAATTACAGCTACAACCTTCACTTGAACGTCTCTGAGAAGTTTAGAGTTAACACATTTAATACCTTGAAGTTCAGGAGAACCCTCCTGTTAGAGCATTGCATGAAATATGCCTCCGAATAAGAGGTTACTGCTGACAATTCCTTGCTCTTCTACTTCTACTTCAGGTGTTTTCAGCTGTTATTTCAGTAACAAAAGAGGTGACTAGCTACCTTGGGCACCAGATCATCAACAGATCAGATCATCAACAATGTTATATTTAAGCTAGAATAATGAATTACATGATAAAATTATACCTTCTGTATTGCAGAAAAAAAACAATTCACTGACTGTTACAAAGACATTACTGGTAGTAGAAAAGAGACACAATTTCTGAAGTGTCTTCTTGTTGACCATGCACATAATTGGTAAAAATTTTACTTGAACTATATTTAATTTACTCTTATTAAAACTATCCTTCCAGAGGCTGTGCTTTAATAATGCAACAGATAAATAAATAAAAGTTAAAAGACAATAGTTAGAGTTGATCTTTTCTTTCTTTGGCTGCATAATCTTTTAGGGCTGTGAATTATATAGTAGTCTCTTACTTCGTTCTCTGTATGCTGTGAGATACTTCATGGAAATCTTCATTATGCATGCTGACTGCTTTGGAATAACCAGTTTAGGAATATTATAGATTTATATACATCTACATTTTTAAATATATATATGGGCATATATATATACCCATGCATGCAAGCATTGCCTCTATATAAATATATGCAGACAATTGTCAATTTGCATTTTTTCCTTCTTCACTGCATAAATCCAAGAGGCCAAAGATTTACAGACTTAAGAAATAACAAGGATTTTTCTTGCAGAATTTTTATAACATTTATGATTTTTTGTAAATTACATAAATTTGATAAAGTTATCATAGTCCTAAAATACTTGTGCCACAAGGAGCTAATCACACTCTCAAAGGACCTGGAACACATGTAGTCTTCAGGTGTATCGCTTCATAAATGAAATTCAGATATCATTAATATCAGAAGAGAAACTTGGTGAATAATTTGTTTCTCTGTGGTATAAAAGTCTGTGACATAAATAAATAAACAAACTTTTAACCAGGCTACAGGGTTCAGTAAAAGGCAAAGTCTGGAGTTTGACTTGAAAAAGAAATGGCACTAGGATCAGGAAGAAGGCACCAAGACAGAATTTAGCACTCTGGAATTCTAGAGTGGACGAGGTCTAATGAGAATTATATGGAAAACATGGAAAAAGAGAATGTAGAGGGAGGAAAACAATGGCTTCTAGGACTTGAAAAAACAGTTACAGTCAGTAGGACACAAGGACAGCGCAGACTTTCTTCAAGCCACTGCATTTCAACAAAATAGTCATCACGCTCATTTTCATGTGGCATTGTAGCAGATCATATAGTTAACCTGAGGTTATCTTAACTAGTGATTATCTTAACTGGACAGATATGATAAGGGGAAAATGAGTAAAAGTGACGTAGCACTACTAAAAGAGAGACAAGAATGGACTTAAAACAAATGGTTAAACTAGCAGATTACCAGTTTTCACTGAGGCTCTTGTGATATCTGATGCTACTTAGTATTTTCACTAATAACAGTGACCAAAAAAATAAATTTTGTTTTGAAATTTTCTAATGACACAAGACAGTCATAATCAAAATATTCCACAGAAAGGCATCACTAACGAGTGAAATTAAAGAAATGCGATGAAATGTGCATGATTAATCATTATCTGGAAAATATAATGGAGAGAAGCACTTCTTAGATTTATTTGACTCATGTTCATTGCCAAATGATAGATAAAAAAGCAAAGACAGTCCTCTACCTTCCTAACTTTGAATTAATTGAGGTATTTCCGGAAGAGCTGTGTACTTGCCAATACCATTGCACAAGAAACTGGTAGGATCATTTTACTACTCTACGTAGTTGTGGTCATCTGTATTCACTGAAGATAAACTCATATCAAAGTCAGTGAAGAGAACTACCGGGATGGTTGGGGGAAGGGATTAATTGCCTTGATTAGTGTAGACAGATGAAGTACAGAGAGATGTCGCAAACAATTCAGCACATGTGAATATCAAGAACACTCTGCCTGCAGTGCAGTGCAGGCAAGCTGCTTAGCCAGCTTTAAGGGCTTGATAAATGTATACATAGATATTGCTTGTCTGTATGGTGGCATTGTGATGGACTTAGTGATTCTGAAATTGCTTTCCAAGAAGGCAGCAGTAACAGAACATAAACTTTGGCACTAGTGGAGATGTAGCCCGTATGTATAGGCCTGCAGGTTAAAAATGTTTGCTCTTTTTGTGTTTATTAGATGTGCAACTGCATGGAATTACACAGCATGGCTAAAACATACAACATTCAGATACAAAATAAGCTTTACTCTCATCTAAACTGTTTACTTAGAGGAAATTGTAAACTGTAAGTCATGGTATTTGTTTCTAGTCAGACACTCTAATCCCCATGATCATGCCCTTCCATTGCCGCCATTAGAGATTTATGGTGTAATAAGAGGAATCTCACTGTAAGAAGTGCTAAATGCAGACTTTTATTTATATTGATTGAAATAAATATTTTTAAAATATTTTTTTAAATAATTGTGAAGAAGTATGAACAGAAAGAATTTTTGGATGCTATAATTTATGACTTCATAGCTGACAGATTGGCTGACAAAGATCGGTGATGCTATGGATAATAGATCTGCTCCCATCTGTGGGGAGAGAAACACTTTGAATGGCAGTTTTGGAACCTCTCTGCTAGACAAAGGTAGCAACAGAATGTTAGAAATATCTGAGGTAGAAGTGGGGAGATGAGCAAGGGAAGGTCTTGAAAGGAGTTATTGTCCTTCCAGATCAAGAAAATAGCAACATTCTTTTTAATTTTTTTCCCTCTGTCTATGAAAAAGAAATATAAATTGAATCTAAAGAATTGAGTGGACTGATTTGTTTCCCAGGGATTCTCACCAAGTGGGTCAAAATGAGAGTAATATATTAATGAATTAATTCAAACTCAAAAACTTTTTTCAGCAAAGCACTAAAGACTTGTGACTAATTGCATGAGCTAAAAGGTATTAATGACAATTAGACCACTGTTTATGAGTATAGGATCTCTGAAGACTGTCATCAAGCACCTTGGTTTTTGTTCTGCATTCTCTTGTAGAAGTCACAGTGATGGTTGAGAAGATATACCAGCCATTCCAGCATCTTTGTTGCTGAGATAGTCATCTCCTGTAAAGGGCCTTTGAGGACAATGATTTCTCAAACATGGACCCATAGTTGCTGGAACTTTTTTGCAGGCACTCTGAGTGTGGCATTCAACTCATCTACATCTGCTCTGTAAACAGCTGTTCAGGTGAGCCTTGTGTTGTTATCTGTTATTCTTTTTCATAGCAGTGGAGAAAGGAAGAAACTTTATTACTCCTAGTTAGCGGCTTTGTTTCTCTGCTAGAGCTTAACACCCCATCAGGGGAGTTGGTCAGCAAAATGAAGCCTTACATTTCACATCCTAATACATGTTCTTCAATATCCACCAGTGAATTAATGCAGCACGTTGTGCTTTGGAGTGTGGGCATACATATTAACTTTCCTTTCCTCCACATGTGAAACAATCCGCAAAGAAACAACATAATCAGCTGTGGACTGCCACAACACAATGCAAGATATGAGAGTGCTTGTACTTGTGATATACAAAGCACATGCCTTCACTTGTCTGAGCATCAGTTTTCCAGTGAATAAAGAATGGTTAAAACTATTTGTCTGATAAGAATGACTGTAGTGTGCAAACACTTGTTAGCTTCCACTGTCCCTGTAGTTCATTAGGGTTTTTTAAATGTTCACAAGTGAAAACAGGGGTATGGAAGGATGTACTTCTCAAGTTTCTGGAAATAACCACATCATAAATAATGAAATGTCACTATTTTGAAAATGTCATTATTTTCTTCTAAATCAATTGCACATTGGAAAATAGATTTTTTTTTGCTATTGTTGAAAACAAGTAAATAATACCTTTCTTGTGAGTATTTTGCCCAGTTCTAACGTTTCAGAAGCAGTGTTGGATGCTTAAAGCATTTGTGATATAAAATAACACTGCTTCAACTTTCAAGCCTGCAATGATAATAATTAATACTTTCTATCAGTGCTTTATATTCACTGCAAGTACCAGTAACATTAGTGACATTGTTAAAAGTTCCTTATCTGAATGCTGCTGAGATAGACGAGATGCATGATTTTGGATCATAATGCTGTATCATTTAAACCTGGATTTACTTGCCACCATTTTTCCTGGCTTCTACATGAAATGGTGCTTTGTAGAGATTATTTTGGGACCCAAAATGTTAACTATTCATTAGAATGCACTGTACAAACTTAGAAACATGATGAATAGTATTTTAGGCATAAGCATTTTAAACATATTTGTTCTGTGTTTAAATGTCAGAACAAAGCATATTACAGGAAAAACACCTACAAATGCAAAAATGCAGTAAAGCCATAAAATATGGGTTAAAAATTTCCATATTTGATCTGGATAGCAAATTATAGAGAGAGCAAAAACCCCCTACGCATAACTATAGCTGCCAATTCTGGATCTTTCAAAAAGCAAGGGCAGGATACCAAGTACATGATTCTGCCTTGTGCCAAGCAAGCATCTATGAAAATGTCACCTTTATGCAAGTGAAACACAAAACGAGTAGAATTTGCCCTTAAATGTGAGGGGGAAAATGTTCTGAAAATAAACAAATTGCTTTTTACTGCTAATTAAAACATGAATCAATAAATATTTTCAAAGTTAAATAATACTGTTCCTCTCAAGCTGAGCACCAATCTGCTGGGCTCCAGCCAGAAGAGAATCTTTTCTAGCATAGTTACAAACAACTGATGAGTGGAGCTGAAAACAGAAACATGAATACAACTTTCACAGTAATTCAAACAAAACTGCATGACTTTAACATATCATTTAAAGGTTCTTTACTCTTTCCACCTTTTTGTATAGTGGTCAGTACATTGCTGGTGAGATAATGACCTACAAGGAGCAGTCAGATTACAGTAATTAACATGTCAGTTTCAAAATAAACACCATTTGGTTCAACAAAGCCTGCAGCTAGGATAACGTCAGGACTAGGAAGACATTTGAAACCCAATTGAAGCAAACTTACTGTTTCTGAACTGAAAACATGCAGTAGCATCCTGTGTTACTGTAGACTTACAAAACTGCTGTTGCTGGCTACCTGAAATTGATTTCTAGACTAGGAAGATGCTCAAGACAGACTCCTTGCTCTGGATGCAGAATCTGATAGATCCTCACTTCTTGTCCTCTTGCACTTGATATCTTTGGTTTTCCCACAACAATTTTTAAAAAGTGATCCTATGATTAGAGAAACAGATCCCCAATTAATATTAGGTACTCTTGTTGCTTTGCATATTGATTATGGTGTAGTGGGGACAACAAGGGTCATTTGAATTACAGAAAGGTAGCTACTAAGATTTCGGAGTTGAACCCATCATGGTTGCTGAGCTCTCAAGAGTAAAGCCAAGTCATATTTTGTTAATTACATAACAATTCAACTTAACATGAGAGTACTGAATATTCTGTGAAAAATTTTACACTGAACATACCTAGACGATTATACAAGTTTCCTTTTCTCTCTCTCTGGCACCTATTCTGACCATAACAAACAAATTAAAACCCCACAACATTCCTACCCACAACTTAATTTTTAAAAGAATGGAAAAGGTGTCTATACCTGAACTGTGGGAACCTTTAAGGAACACTACATTCCACATAAACTCCTTTTGCATCTGTTTCTGTCATACACCATTAAAAGAAAAACAGAAAAAAGAGTAGTTTATATTATCCTTTAAACAACACTGTAACATTAAGAAGGCAAAGTTTTGTTTGTTTGGGGTTTTTTTAAATTTTTTCTCATTGTGGGGTACATTTGCTAAAGTCCTAATAATATAAATGTGTATCACCAGTGAAACTGAGTGATGCAATATCCCTAGAAATTTCCAGTTGCCATAGATGTTACAGCCAAAAACCTGAGTAAGCAGTTTCAATTTAAATGCATATTCCTGGAGTTGCAGGTCCTGATTTTTTTGTGGCAGGTCTAAAGTGTTAGGCCTTACATACATGCACACACTCAACCCCCCTGTGCCTTTAAACCCCAAGAAGTGGTTGTATACCGTATATTCTGGACAAATTTATCACATTGTATCTTATGTCTCTTAGAGCTTAAACTAAAGAACCTCAAGTAGTGGACACAGTACACTAAATTTCCAGGCAAAATAATCAACCGAACAGTGTGACTGAATTATAGGTTAAGCAATCCTCAGAGTCACTGCTGACTCTGCTGACAACATTTCAAATATCTGGATTTTATATCAAGCCTATTATTTTAGGACTAGCTACAGTACTTGAAACTTTAAAGTTACTCGATCAGTGTCAAAATTAACAGGGGAGATATTTCTAAGTCTTATTGCCAGGCATGGAATGAAAGTTTCAGTCCTATTCAATGATATTGGACAGATTTCTAGCAAGTACAAGAATAAGAACACTCTTACCACTCTTACAGACTGTTCTGGCCAAGGATTTGCCTAACCCATGGCTATGTCTGATCTCTGATTTCAAGAGGAATATTCTGGACTCTTACTCTGCATCCCAGCCTTCCGCTCAGTCACTGTCTTGGCTGTCTCAGTTTTGCTTGCCTACAGCTCTGCTACTCCTTTGTGGGTAGTGTGGGGGTATATATATGTATATTGCATATATATTTTGGAGCACTTGGATGATAGGTTTTACAGCATTTGAATGATGAGTGCTAAAAAATACTGAGCAGTATGTGAAATCAGGTGGTATGGAAATATCAGGAACAGTAAGTGGTAATGATAGTAGTGTCATCGGTGGTGGGGTGATGGCACAGCATAGGCTTGGGGGCCCTGAGCCAGCTTATGATTCTGAGTATGCTTCTGAGTGTGTTTCTGAAGTAGCACAGCCTCTGCTTAGATGTGGTTAATAGCACAGCATACGGAACAGCCATATAGGAGCACTCTGGGAGGTATAATGGATGGGAGAGCATGTGTTCTGCCAAAATATTTGAAAGTCCTATTTATTACTCCACTATGTGGTAATCTGAATGTGATTAAGTAATGTTGAGATCTAAATAATCTATTGGTTAGTGAAGTAAAAGGTTATGCTTGCTTTCACACTGCAGTCATTTACATTGTCTTTGTGGCGAATTGTGGCAGGATCCAAAAGAGGTTGCATTATACAAGCATAAATAAAGAACAGTAGAATTTATACCAAATAAGTTTGCTAAACCTTGCATTAATGAAAACTTCAAAGAGTTGCTGTAGCTGCTGCATGGCAGTAGGAGTAGGCTGAGGATAATTGTAGGAATACAGATATATTATTAGAAAGAACACTCTTCTGCTTCCAGCTGCATTACTTCAAACGTACTTAATGGTACACTTTACCATCTTTTGTGTTTAAGCACAGGGCACCAGTATATAGATAAATAATCCTACCTCTCACTCTCCCTTTTTTTTTGCAATTAAATGCACTACATGCATGCATGGACATGGACTGGAACAGAAAGCATTACATCTCTTCCAGGGTAGGGCCCAGGGAATACTTTACAATTCCCATACGACTGTTCTTTACTTAGTATTAATACTTTACCTTTCAACTTTCTATTTTTTTATTCTATTTCTTACATTACACTCCTTTAAAATAGGGACAAACAGACAATGAAGTGCACTGTGATGGATTAAATAAAAACTGGAAAATGAAGGACAGACTAATTTTTGTGCTTTGTAGAATATTCATATGGAACTTTAAAAAAGTAAAAACAAAGAAACAGTCCTTTCTGAACTCACAGGACTATGATGTAAACATACATAAAAGGAGGATTTCAAAGCATTTACTCTACTCTTGTGGGTCATATATGTTCTTCATACAGAGACAGAAGTTTAGAATAATACCCTTGAGGTTTTACAAAGAAATGCTAAAGCTGAGTATAGTTTCAGCACTGTTAATTTGGTCCCTTTATGCATGTATCACAATTATGGTTCTTTACTGGAGCCTATCTATTTTTGTATAGTCTCTGCCTCTTTTGATGAATGATTAGTTATTTAATATTTGACCAATTATTCAAAGTGTGATCTCTTTTTTTTTCAGTATGCAACACAGATTTCTTCTTCTATATTTTGATACTACAGCATCTGAATGCTATAAAAAGTTAATTAACTTATCTTCACAAAGTTCTGTGAAGATAGATGGTGTTATTATCCCTCCTCTACAGATGGCAACCTGGGGTATAGAGAAATTTTTGTTTTCACTGAAAGAGATCCAGCTACTCT